CCGTAATAAAAAGAAAACCCCGAAGCAAATGAATGAAGATGCCGAGAAGATGACGAGAAAATTAGAAATATTGGAGATTCAACTTCAAAATGAACGTATTAAATTAGAAAATACAAAAATTTTACTGGATATTGATATTGAGTTAAACAGAATTCTTTTGGAAAATGCAAAAATGGACTTGGAATTAAAAAAGAAGAATTTTAATTATAATGGCCAACATATAGTAAAATAAAATTCTAATTTTAAATTCTAAGTCCGTTTTTGTATTTTGTAAAAGATTTTCTTTAACTCTCTTTGTTTTTGTTATTTGTTAATTTTATATTGATGTTGAATTTCCAAGATTTATAATGTTTTGGCTTTTATTAATAAAAATTCTTGTTTATAAATTTTATTCGCTATGTTTTTAGTAGAGCCATGCTGCAGCTATATTATAATTATAGCACGAATAGGTCATTTCGACTAAGGAAAGACCATGCCCTTACCGAAGACCAGTATGTATTAACAGATACATTCTGCATTTTCGTATGGTGCGTGTATAAAAGACCATTTTAAATTAATTTATACATATTAGTGTATATGATAACCATTGGCAGCCGTATTACTATCAACGATTTCTTCCAGGCAACTTTTGATGAGACTCAATTTTTTGGGGCCTTCTTACATTCAAAATTGTGTAAACTTAGCTTTAGAGATATTAGCAAAAGAAAAAATTACAAAATTTAAATATTGTTTCAATAATAATCAACAAAAATCGTTTACGTCACAGGAAAGAGGTTGTTCAATTGGTTGTGTAATAATATCTTCTTCCGGAGCAGAATCAATCGCCACAGTATCATTTTGCTATAGAGCTATATTATGTAATACAGCTGTCGCAACAATCACAGCTATTGTGTGATCTAGTTCCAGCCTTATTTTTTAGAAAGGCATTAAAATCTTTTCCACACATCAAATTTGTGTTTCATTGTAGAGTTTTTTTACATTTTTGTAGCTGAGGTTAAAATGGTGTCATCATGTTGTGCACGCATCCGCCGGAGACCCTTTTTACGGCCTCATTCCCCTCGAACAAGTCTGAATGCCAAATATACTTTCCACAAAGATACGCACTGTGTCCAAAAATGTGACCATCTATCTCATTGTTATTCAGGTATGCTCGGAGACATGAGTTATGACAAACTTTACTGTCATGTGTTGATCCATACTCATACTACTGAATCTATGTCAGGAATTTGTAATTTTGTAGCACCAGTTTTTTGTGTAGATTAAAAAATAAATATAAACTTCGTTTAATGCTTTGCAAAAAAGTTTTGAACGATTATTTTCGAAAAAGAGCGTTTATGATCACATTTAATGTCATAAAACTATATGAAATCTTCAGGTGAAATATTTTCTATATTTTTTCGTTAATTCACTTTAATAATGAATATTTAAAAAAAATCATCGAATTCGGATGATTTTTCGATTTTCTAGAGCCAAAACACGAGAGGACCGTGAACGTATAAAATTGTCAAAAATAATTATGATTATAAGTCATTGTTATGTTGATTAAAACTATTTTTACGAATTTTATCGCGTTTATTTTACTATTATTATTTTTAATTCCCGACGTTTCGGGCGCTTTCCAGCACCCATGGTCACGGGGGACTGAGATGACTGACGTCCCGATGTCATTGTTAAACCCGGAGTACCTTCAGCTTTTTTAATTATTGTTTATGGTCCGATCTACGCAAAATGAACTGACTATGTCCTGAGGTCTTGCAGTGGTATACTTGGGTTTAGTATTAATTTTATTGATTATAGGATCCCAAGCAGGTAGTGGTACCCAGCCTCCTTCTCTATTGAAATTAGGATGTTTTTAATTGCAATAGCCTCACGTATCATCCTTGGTAGGAATCGGTGTTCTTTCGCGAGAATTTGTGGTCTATCAAATCTTATGTAATGGTTGGGGCCGTCTAGGATATGATCGCAAACTGCAGACTTCCCGGAACGTTGATGCTTTTTTAGCTATATGTTCTTTTACGCGGGTTCTAATTGATCTTTTTGTTTGCCCTATATAAGAGAGATCACATTCACAATCAAGCTTGTACACTCCTGCATCTTGTAGAGGAATATGACACTTGACTGATGGTAGGAACTGAATAATCTTCTTCGGCGGCTTGTAGAATGTTCTAATAGAAGCTCGCTTCAAGATGTAGCCAATCTTGTCTGTGCCACCTCTGACATATGGTAGTACAGCAAGCACATGCTCGACTGTAGCCGGCTTCACTCGGTTACTGTGACGTAGGCGCGGGACCCGAAGTTTTAGTCATGCAGAACTTGCTTGACGTGCTGAAGCTCGGCGGCCACATGTAACATTATTATGTATTTAATCCTACCCAATAAAGTTTAAAATAATTCCATATTATACTAAATCAATAAAATTCTTTTAACACTCTTGTCAAGTGTAAGTTCGTGGTGTAGTATAGTCGGGAACAAAGACGCGAGCACGAATTTTTTAGCAAGAATGAGTCGGCTCGACCGGGGATGGACCACACTCTCACAGAATACCAGCGTGAAATAGTAGGTTAACGCTACTGTGCTTCGTGTGGTGAGTGTAGAGACCGGAGACCCTTTTTACTGGAAACAAGGCATTCCATCTTAGTTTTCACGGGTGACAACGCATCTGCATTTTGATTCGTAATCGAGGATAGATGTAGATGTCTATGGGCCGCAGCAACCACTTACCACCAGGGGGACTGTGTGCTCGTTTGTCACCCTAACTTATAAAAAAAATCTACGATACAAACTGCACACGAGCAGTACGCAAAATTCGTGTATGCATTGTAATAACAGATTTAAAAACAGTATTACAATATATACGCGAGCAGTTTCCTATGGCTGCGTTCTGGCGTTTACAATGGAAAGACGTCTCCTAGCTAGCTTTGCTATTTTCTTGTTTACTTTATGTACCACTCTGGATACAGTAATGTCATCACCAACTACTATTTGGAAAGTACCGGTGGCATAAAATCATAATGCTATGAAAATCTGTTCTAACAGAGACAATGTATATTTGCGATGCGTAATGTGTGCTAGAGCAGAGCTGATGGTATCACATAGGTGTATCATAGTGTTCTTATCAAAGCCATATCTCAATTGAAATTCTTCATTCGTAAACATTTCGATAGGATTTCTCCTATATCTTACGTTTCTGTATATAAAATAAACTCCAGTATTTCCAAATCAGACTCCAAAGAGCTACTTGAACTACTTGAATATTTTAATATTTAACGCTCACTGGCAATTTATTTTAATAATAACACTTTATAACATAAAAGTTAATGTAATTTACTTGAAATTAAACGTCAAATAAAATTAAGAACCGATACATAGCACAGATCGGTCAGTTAAATTAAACTTAGCTTAAACGGAGTTTATCTTGTATTTCAACGTTGGAAAACGCACTTTCATAATTAATCGAACCAATTGCGCTAACGAATAGATAAAATACTCATAAAAGTTCCTCAGAATCTGAGCATAAATCACACAAAACGGTGTATTGGTGCTGGCGTAGAGCTTTTTGATAAAATGGTTTAATTGTACCATTAACCATACTAGTACCTTAACCATAGATTCTATTAATAAATTTAATTATCGTAAGAGATCATACTTAACCTCCATTGTAACACGCAATCATCTAAGATTATTTTTAAATGTCTGCATAATATTTAAAAAAGAAAAAAAGTATACATACTTTAATTCAACAATATAATAAAATTATAGTATGATCAAAGTAACTTACCTGTAAGTGAACTTCGAACACTATTATACACAGTTAATGCCTCGTCTGATATGACTATGTAGTTTATGCACTTTTCGCATCAACAAACACGAGTTCAAAGATTTGAGTAAAATTAACCAAAAATAAAAATTTATTTGTGACGGCGACCCACGAGTCCCTGGCAACACTGGCTGGCGTACGACAAATCATTAAGTTTTAAGAGCTCCAGCCATTTTCATTATGGAGAAGGGCGGGAAATTTAATAAATGGGAGGGAGACTTCAGACGAGGCGTTAAGAGCGTATAATAGTGATCAAAGTTCACTTACAGGTAAGTTGCTTTGATCATACTATTATACTTATTAACGCCTCGTCGGATATGACTATGTAGATGTTGAAAGGTCTTGCGAAATAATGAAAATGTTTTCAAATAATGGTGTTTATTTATGACAATTCACAGATACAATTATAATTAATTGACTCATTGATTGCGAAAGATGAATTCACCAAAGTTTTCAATATTTTCTAAAGGTAAGTTATAAAATATGGCAAAAATTTTTGACCTACCCAGCTGATTTAATCAAATTTATATTAAGGCCCTTTCGGTGTGCTGCTGATGTAGAGGCATGTCGTGTGCTATGTGCAGAGTATATTGATACATCAATTACGGCCTCATTTAAAACATCTTTTATCCACCTGCTGAGTGTATGGGTTGAAGCAGGAGTATGTGGTTTTTTAATGGTGATAAAAAGATTATTTGTGTTCATCCGTAGTGGTCTCGTCGCTTCAAAATAATCACATAATGTTTTTTCAGGGCAAATACTCATATTCTCATTAAAAAACTTTAAGGTCAATAAAGGTTGAAGACCATTTATTTTGGAAGTTTTGATTAATTGGGGAACTTTGATTTTTATGCAATTATTAGTAATAGTAATGTTATCTATTGTTATCAAAGAAAAAGTTTGTAATCTTTGAGCTGTTGTTAAAGCTAGTAAATTTTTTGGACAAAATACTTAGATCTAATTCTGAGTTTGGGTATAAATTGCTTACATAATCAAGTACTGGACTTGGATCCCAAGTTTCTTTATATTTAGGTTGGTTAGGTCTTAATTTAAAGATGCCTTTAAAATGTATTAATATCTCTATTTGCACTTAATTCACTATCCAAAAGTAGTGACAAAGCTGATCTTAAACTATTTAAGGTGCCATAAGAAGCACCATTTTTAAATTTTTCAGTTAAAAATTTTAATAATAGGGGAACTGATTCCGACAATGGGTCAGCTTTATTTGTTTGGCAGAATTTCCACCAATGTTGATAACACCAACACAGAACTGTATTGTAATAGAGTGTTTTTGACACAGAGAATTTATAATAATATTAACACATTCCAAGGAGTATCCCTTTTTTAAGTAGATCTTGCTGACAACATCCCTGCAATTAGTGAAAGGCTCTTGTGTAGCGGGTGACAAGACCTGAAAATGGATGAAAGTAATTTTGGGTTGGGTTTTAAATAAATAGGCTTTGAGCTCAACAGACTCAAAAAGAGGGGGTACCATGCTTGTCCTGGCCAATTTGGTACTACCACAATACCCTCAGCACGATCTTCTTGAATCTTTTTTAGACAACGCAAAATTACTGAGAAAGGTGGGAAGGCATAAAATTTGAAAAGAAAAACAATCTGGTTCAATCTTCCATGAAATAAACTTATCACATTTTTTTATTTGCATGAGAAGCAAAAAAGTCTATTTCAGGTATTCCTAATTGTATAATAATTTTTTCACAAGCATATGAGGCTAGTTCCCATTCAGTTTCTGTATTAATTAACCTAGATTGTGCATCAGCTTCTATATTTTCTTTTGAAGGTATGTATGAAGCAAAAATATGTAGTATTATTTTTTAACAAAACTGCCATATTTTTCTAGATAAAGAATTTAAGTGTGGGAATTGTATTCCACCCATTCTGTTTACATATGAAATTGCTGTTGTATTATCCGAGCGAATTATTATATTACAATCCTTCTTATTTTTTGCAAAGCATTTTAAAAAAAAATAAATACCTAAAAGTTCTAAGAAATTTATATCATAATTTCTTTCCTTTTTTGACCAGGTTCCATGTAATTTTTTCTGGCCACATACTATTCCCCACCCAGTATTAGATGCATCAGAAAATATTTCCAATTTATATTTTTCTCGCTTAATTGGGGCTGAACATGAGAAGATTACTTTTTTCCACCACAATAGGTCTTCTGTAATGTCTAGGTTAATCTTTATTTTGGATTCATAATTATCCCCTGATTTTTTTAAAGCTAAATACTTATTTCTTTCCAAAATTTTGGTGTACATCCATCCATATGGGACGGAAGCAAACTCCCTGATGGTACATATTCTTTTTTGTGTAATAGAGTGTAATTTAGAGCTAAATTTATTTGTTTTTTCTAGTGGAATACTTATTGTAAAATTATCACTATTTAGTATGAAACCTAAGAATTTACACTTTTTGCTAGGATGTAATTGACTTTTTTCATAATTTATAATGAACCCTAATGACTTAAGAAATTGACATGCAGTATTGACATTCTTTCTACAGTCATTGACAGTTGGTGATATAAAAAGAAAATCATCAAGATAATTTACTAAAGTTCTCCCTTTTGATCTAAGGTAGGAAACTATTCGTCTCATTATTTTGTTAAAAACATAAGGTGCTGTGGATAAACCAAAAGGTAGGACATTAAACTGATAAAGATTGTTATTAAAATAAAATCTTAGATATCTTTTAGATTCTTTGTGAATTTTAAGTAAAAAATAAGCATCTTTTAGATCAAGCGATGCCATGAAACAATTTTTATCAATAAGATGTAATCCTGTCCTAATATCTTCTAGTTTAAAATGCAACGTTGGTACAAATATGTTAATTTTTTTTTAAGTTTAAAATAAATCTGAATGAACCGTTTGGTTTTGGAGTTGTAAATATTTTTGAAAAATATTGATATTTTAGTAGCTGTGTTTCTATTGTGACTGCACCCATTTTTATTAATTCATCTAAACATAGTGAGATTTTTTGCTTTTCAATTTTTGAAAAAGAGTTATTTTGTGGCACTTGAGATTGGTATACTATGTTAGACAATGGTATAGAATATCCATTCTTTATCCAATTTAACACAATTGTGTTTTTAGTAAAAAACCAATTTTTATAGTAATTTGACAATCTGCCAGCATAACTTGCCTCTATTCCCGATGATGCCACTGTGGTTGTACCGTCCTGGACGGATTTCTTGTCAATAATCTTAGTTTTTGTCGTTGACGTTGATGGCGTTGCTTCATAATATACTTCACTGTCGGAGGCTTGTTTTGTAACTGTCTTGTGTTGTCTTGTCTGGTGTTGTATCGTCTGGTATTGTCTCGCCCGCCCTGCTTCCTGTTCGAGGACGGGCCCCAGTTGTTTAAAGGCTTCAGGTCCTTAGCCGAGTTCTCTAAATTCTTGGTTTCTTGTAGTATATTTGTAATATCATTTCAAAATAAATAACTGGTGATATGTGTTTGTTCTAAAGTTTCTTTAAGATTTTTATTTACACCAGGTAAAATGACCGCTCTACGAGTTTGAGACTCTTTATAATGTACATGACATAAAAGTTTTATGCAGTTTCCTTTGTATTCTGTTGTGTCACTTCCTGTATTCTTTTCCAGCATATTGGTTAATATATCTGTGAGGCAACAAATTACAGACCCGATAATATTTTGTTTATGACAAATATGATCATCTCTTTTTACCGCCTGTGGTGACAGAGTAAACTTAATTTCTAGGTTGAGGTTTGGAGGTAATGTAAGGCAATCTTTGATTGTTGGGAATGTTTTTAAAATTCTCTTTTTAATTTTTTATGTATTTTCCATAATAACAATAACACCAATATATATTTGCTTTTATAGATTCATATATATACAAACAATAGCACAAAAATAAAAGTATCTACTTTAGGTAACTTATTCTTTTTCATGTAATAATTTAAGTATATTGTTTAAGTATTAATAAGCTATTGTTATCCTGAATAAATAATAAATAAATAATAATGTCCTCACTTGATTTTTCCTCTAACCCTTGCGTAAGAACGGTGTTCCACGTATTTGTTAGTTCACTATTTACACTAATAATTTTATCGATTTTCTCCATATGTCCCATTTTTTGAAGAAAATTTGGAATATTTTTATTGTTACTACAAAAGGGCAAGTCATGGTCGAAATCCTCTTCAGAGTCGCTTTCCACAATTATTCTCCTTCTCTTTTTAACGAATGTTTCAGCTTCATCTGCGATAATATTGCAGAATTAATTTATCATGTGTACTCGCTCGTAGTATCGTATGATAATATTAATGAAATTTTATAGCAATATTTCGTGACTTTTTCTTAGAAGGTATGAAATAAGTTCACATTACTTCTCATACCATAATAGAGAAATGAAATCACATGTACTCGCTCGTAGTACCGTATGACTTAATACAACTGAATTAACATAATATGAAATAAACTGCTTATAGTAAGCAAAAACAGTTTTTTGACCAAGTATAGGCGCCCGTCCTATCGCTTAGGCCAATATTTTCATCCTTGAGATATTAATCTTTGTGATAAAACGGATGACGCATTTTACATTTTAAAATGGCGGCGCCCACGCGCTACTTATGCTTAAAAATCTCCTAGTAAACATACCTTCTGATTCCGATGAAGAAAATAAAAGATCATAAGCTTCCTTTTTAGTTTTTCTTTCTTATTCTCCATTTCTAGTTAATACGCTTAATTTTTTCCTTTGTAGATTTATTTTGTTTAACGATACGAAGCGGATTGTTCGACACGAAACGTCATAATGATTTGTCGTACGCCGGCCAGTGTTGCCAGGGACTCGTGGGTGGCAGTCACAAATAAATTTTTATTTTTGGTTAATTTTACCCAAATCTTTAAACGCGTGTTTGTTGACACGAAAAGTGCATAAACTACATACTCATATCAGACGAGGCGTTAAGGTGATACCTCGAAAATTTGGTGGTTTTTCTATTTAACATATTTTTTAACTTTTATAGATTACGAACCAAAACTTTGCTATATGATTTTTGACTATATGACGTTGGATTGCATAAAAGGAAAACACAATATCAGTTTCTCGATAGAAAAAAATTGAAAAGTAGGCTCTAATTATTTACATTTCTCCATGACACCACAATATTCTTGGGAATAAATTCATGGAATTATTTTTAAGCCATAGTAAATAATCATATCTAAGTTCTCATAAACCAGTTTTTTAATCCATAACGAAGTTTTGTTAAAATAAATAAAAATGGTGTTTGGCGCTTACGTAGTTTTTTTTCCGAGCCCTTGCTCGGTTTGGCTATCTCATAATTTGCGTACTATGAAGTCATTGCATCACTTTCATTTAGACACTCCCTCGGTCGTCCGTTAGCTTCACCGACAAAGGAATAAGCCACGCCCCCAAAACTTCGATTCATTTTCAAGGTATCCTCTTAATAACTATAATAATATATAAAAAGTCTAATGTTTTGTGTTTGATAGTTTTATCTTATAGTGCCTATCTACTTGTGGAATAAACGAAAATAAAATCGGCGAAAACAAATCCCGCAAGACAAGGGGTGCGGAAAACTGTCACAGTAATGTTTTTTTTTTTGTGTATCTTTTACTTAGTAAAATAATTGCCGCGTTGATGTGCTTTTTTGCTCTTTTGTTTAGAAATATAAATACATTGCGTGACTATTATACTATATTATCATCGTCATCACCATCATTACAGCCTATCAAAATTCCACAGCCGAACGTAGGCCTACTCTAATGCCTCATATGGGGATATTTCTCATAGACGCCACGCTTGCCAGGCGGATTCGCAACCGCCTTTTTTTCGCTTTCTTGATGTTATTAGGATAACGCTACTGCCCATCTCCTGTTTTTTTTTCCTATGTCGTCTATTATGATACCCATGGGACGATATAGGTTAGTATATGTTCTAAAACCGTCATTGGTTTTTATTATTAATATATTATATAATAAATATTATGACATATTCAAATTGATTTTTTCGTTATCAATCATTTTCGTTGCATATTCATTTAACTCTCACAATATTAGTAAATAATTCATTATGTTATTAAATTACCGAAATTCATAGGGCTGGTTTCCACAAAAGAACAAGATCGGAGAAGTGAAGAGATGTGTTTTACCTTTCATACAAATTACTACTCGAAAATAGAACCCGTTTCAGTCCGTCTTTTTATACCAGTCTTTTTGCTAGCCTCTGTAAACCACCGTTGGATAAAACTGGGTTCTGAGCACTCAGTCTGTGGAGACTCAACCCTATGCGAGCGATTACACTCACTGGTCCGTATGCGTACTCGTATCGCTTTAATTTTTTGCACTTTTACTTATAATACATATTCGTATTAGAAACGCTACCCATAGCCACAATGTTTAATAGGACATGACAAATTGTCGTCGAATAGGGCAAAACAACGTCTGCATGGCAAGCTAGTCTTTTGTATAACGTTTGCATACGCCTATGAGGTGAAGATGTTGAAAGAGATGTGAATGTGTCTTTATCTGTGATAGTAGTTATAGCTTAAATTTTATGACACAATTGAGGGCGATCGAGCGCTTTTGCGATTATGTGTCCTATTTCACGGTTACCTGTCATCTACCAATAGTAATCGAACATTCACATCAATGTTGATATTGGTAATCTACATCGCCATCATACTTTAACTGCCTCAAGGTGCTATTTCACCAAAGTGGTGAAAGTTGGAGATGTGTTTTCAAACAATTGATAGGGAGTGAACATTTCTATCCCATACGAGGTACAGCCCGCTATTATCAAACAATATTTTATTTGTTCTTTTTTAAACTTTACCTCCCTCACTAGGTATTTCTCCTGTATTATCATCAAACATCTAGACCCTTAAAAGTTATTTGTAGGTCATACAAATACTTGTTCCGTGCGGGATTCAAACCCGCGGCCCTCAGCCCAACAACTTATTACTAAGCCACTGAGCCAAATGTGACCGATCATTGTATTTGTCACCAAAGGATAAATACAATTAAAAATCCTTAAATTTGCAAAAAAAGAAAACTTGTGGGTCACTCATGGGCAAAACAACTATTCTATCTCTCAAGTTGGACCAAACTGCACACGGTGTGCAAATTTGATTAAAATCGTTTAAGTAGTTTAGGAGTCCATCGCGGACAAACAACGAGACTCGTATTTTATATATATTAAGATGTAATTTGAATAAGACATGTGCCGGATATGAGATAATTTATGTGTTTATTAAGAAATGTTTCACTTTTTGCAGTTTCAAACCGAGATGTTTTATTTAGTCAATCTATCCATTCCAAATCCATCAATGATTTAAACAAGTCTTTTTTTTTTCAAATTAAAAAAGGCCTTTTCAAAGCCAAAAACGCTTCTCCAATACTTTTGGTATTGCGGATGTGCATAAAAGGTGGTCGGTGGTTAGCAGTAATAATTTACCATTGGATGAGTTGTATCCTCGTTTTTTTTTCCTTATTATAAGTCAGTACTTGACCACAATCCCACCTGGTGTTAAGTGGTTATGTAGCCCTAGATGGAAAACAAACAGGCCGCTTAGACTCACAGACTATTTCGGATTCCAGCACTGCAACAGGGCAATCGCGGGCGAAGATTACAATGTGCAAATAAAAATTTGGTTTGGAACGAACGTTTCTGGTCTACAGTAGAATACGTGTTGGGTGAACATTCTCATTCACGATAATGCCCGCCCACATACATGTCGAGTAACTGAATGGCTGCAGCGAAATATCGGTCAGTAGTCTCCAGATCAAGCTCCTACTTGCGCAGTAACTCTAGTAGTATCGTATGATTACCAATACAACGTTGCGTTCCACTGCCATTCTCTATCCTTATTTACTTTTAAAACTTATATGTCTTAAAAAGAAATGACGCAAAAACCAGAAAGTTTTTTTGTGCGTTCATGGACTTAGAAATGGCTTTTAGACAGAGTAAACAAGGATGTTTTATGGCAAACACTGATTTCATTTGGGTTGAGTACTGGGTTGGTTGGAGTTATTTCAGGATCTACGGGCACACTTGGACTGAAAACGTCATAAATAAGTCATTTAAAGAAAGGAGAATGAAAGTGAACGCAAGTCAGACGAGAGATTGAACGAGAAAATAGTGACAAAGCAAATCTACGTAGCTTTATCACTCTTTCCTCTGTGTATGTGTGATGTGAATGAGAGTCGGGATGGGATGCCCTAGACGAAAGTTTATCGACCAAATTGACGATATGTTGAAAATGGACACAAGAGCTCATATATGGATGTAAAGGAGGCAAGGGAGGTGTATCAGGATCCTGCCAAATTGAAGCTCGTAGTCTCCGCCTACTCCTTTGGAATAGTGTTAATGTCTTATGAATGTATGTTTTAAAAACAAAATTTGATCAGTTTGTAAACCAAGTTAATGAACCCCTATTATTGATTTTACTATTTAAAAAAAATGTCTTTTTGTACCTAGAATTACATGCTTACTGCGCTCGAGCCCAGTCTGAAAATATTCAGATATTTTAAATGATATCGTTAATAAACATTACCTTTAAAATTTGATCTTTCTAGCGGTGCATTGCTTCATTTTCTTGCTTACGTGCATAGTGTCAGTGACTTGTTTAACATAATTTTATGGCAGACGTGGCAAACGCTCTGTCCCGGCGGAAATGTTGCACTGGAAGTTAAAAAAAATAACAGTGGAATATTCCGTTAGCACGGAGAGTGCAGAAGAGTTTGTTTCGTAAGGTTCATAGTGACCAAGATCAGATTCGTCTTCTAGGTGTTTTAACTAAGAAATCAAGTCACTGGTGACACGCTTTACTATATAGGTAATCTAGGACTTGATATGGAAAAATTGCGCATCGCCGTAGGGATCCGGTTTGAGGCTGCGATTTGCAAACCTTATCAGTGATCCTGTGGTGATTAACAGTTTTCATGTATCAAAAGTGCTGGTAGATTTCTGTCACGGTTCTTTGAACGATTTCATACAAAAAAATCTTGCCTCTATAAATGTTCCATCAGTTTTAGAGCCTTTTAGAATATTTGGAGACGATGAAAAGAGACCCGATGATATGACTTTGGTCGCTTAGGAGAGAGGTAAAACCCTAGTGTGAGATCCTACTTGCGTAGACGTTTTGGCAACCTCTCCTTTCAGTGGCACCTCGTTTAGAGGTCTCTGTGAGATCACTACATATTTGTGCCATTGGTTGTAGAGACTATCCTCAATTACGAATAAAAACGAGGATGCGTTGTCATCCTAAGGACTAGGATGGAATGCCTCTGGTTCTCTACACTTACCATACGACACATAGCAGAGTGAAAACGTGGTTCTTCCCCGGTCGAGCCGACCTATACGTGCTACAACTATAATACAGCTGCAGTATGACTATAACGAGTAAAGATGACTCTACCACGTAATAAAGTATTTTTCACAGTTTTTAGTATTGCACATATTTCAATGTTATGTGAATAAAAATATCAATATTAACATTTTTTATAGGATAGGGTGACAAACGAGCACACAGTCCACCTGAAGTGGTTGCTGCGGTCCATAGACATCTACATCTATCCTTGATTACAGATCAAAATGCAGATGCGTTGTCACCCGTGAGGACTAACATCTAATGGCTCGTTTCCAGTAAAAAGGATCTCCGGTTTTCTACACTCACCATACGAAAAACAGCAGCGTAGAGCTACTA